AGACGGAGTTTCGCTCTTGTTACCCTGGCTAGAGTGCAATGGCGCGATCTCGGCTCACCACAACCTCCGTCTCCTGGGTTCAGGCAATTCTCCTGCCTCAGCCTCCTGAGTCGCTGGGATTACAGGCACGCACCACCACGCCCAGCTAATTTTTTGTAGTTTTAGTAGAGACGGGGTTTCACCATGTTGAACAGGATGGTGGTCTCGATCTCTTGACCTCGTGATCCACCCGCCTCGGCCTCCCAAAGTGCTGGGATTACAGGCTTGAGCCACCGCGCCCGGCTGTGGTTTTCTAATGGTGTGATTTTCTGGTTCCCTCATTTCTTTCTACATGCATTAATTGGATTTATTTTTCTTTACAGGAGATTAGTTCCTTTTCTCCTGTTTATTATTCACTCATTTCATGACTTAACGTCAGTGTGGACTTGGGGCTATTTTTGTTGTTTGGGTTATAATTTTTTTTTTTTTTTTTTTTTTTTTTTTTTTTTTTTTTTTTTTTTTTTTTTAATGGAGATTCACTCTTGTTACCCAGGCTGCCGTTTCAGCACGCTCTGTCCTTTGATTTTTAAGCAATTTCTTACTTTCTGACATAACAGCTTGCTCCAGACTCAGTCATTGTATTTTTCTTTCCTAGCCCTAGAGTCGGCCATTTCTCCAAAAAGCCTTGGATTTCTTTTGTTGGAATCACAGTAAACTTTTATTCTAATTCAGGAAGTAATATTTTCATATAGGTTTTATAAGGTATCAATATTTGCTTGTACAAGATTGTGTAATAGTTTTTTCTTAAGGCTTTTGGACCACAGTTATTCACTCAGCAGACTTCAAAAAGGTGTTTGTTACATGCTGGCATTGTTAGAACTAGGGATTCCGGGACAGGTAAGACATGATCATTGGCTGGGCATGGTGGCTCACGCCTGCAGTTGTGGCACTTTGGGAGGCAGAGGTGGGTGGATCGCTTGAGCTCATGAGTTTGAGACTAGGCTGGGCAACATGGCAAAACCCCATCTCTACAAAAAATACAAAAATTAGCTGGGCATAGAGCTACTTCGGGGGCAGAGGCGGAAAGATTGCTTCAGCTGGAGAAGTGATCTCAGCTCACTGCTGTCTCCACAACACTGTACTCCAGCCTGAATGACACAGTGAGACCTTGTCTCAAAAAAACCGAAAACAAACAAAAAACCATTGATCTTAACGACTTTAGAATGTAGATGTGAGAAAGATTTTTTTTCCCTGCCCTCATTCGATTTCAGTGAGTGCCTATTACATGCCAGGCACTGTGCCATATGTCAACAGGAAATAAGAGCTGGGTAAGCATACATATAGCACAGTCTTCATTGCTAGCTATGGGGTTGAGTGGAGGCGTGGGGGAAGAAGGACATTCCAAGAAGAGGAATATTAGCACCAGGGACAGTAATCTATGAATTAGGTCTAGAGATAAGTATGTGTGTGTGGGATGGTTGCTGTGGGGGTTGGAGGTGGTGGCGGCAGGACCCCAAGTCATGAGGCTTGTGGATAAGCCAAGCTTTGGAAAGTTGAGGGACCTAGTGAAGGAATTTGAGTGGGACTGCAGTGTAATCAGATAATCCTGGCAGCACCTTGGAGAATGCATTGGGATTCAGGAGGCTATTGTCATGATAGAGGTGAGAAGTGAAAGTCTTAACTAGGGACAGTGGAACAGTGGTTCTCAGACTTGTGTGCATCAGAATCACTTGGAGGGCTGTTTAAAACAGCCTGCTCAGCCCTGCCCCCTAATTTCTGACTCAGCAGGTCTTAGGTTAGGACCTGAGAATGTGCACCTTTAGCAGTTTCCCAGGTGATGTTGATACTGCTGGTAGAAGGAGTATTTTGGAGCCGCTGGGTGTGATAAAGGGAGTCAGCTGGGTGGAAGGATTTAGGAAGTAGTCATTGTGGATCTCTTCTAGTGATTTTTTTGTTAGCAGTGCTCATGCACGTTTGGTCTTTGTCTGTTACATCCTTTAGAGCTGCTGACTTTTTTGACCAGTGAAGAAAGCGTGAGGATTAGTTTTTGGAAGCAATTATACGGGCATGCGTGCAATTTGTCTCGTGCATTATCTTTGGAAAAGTTGTACCACTCTGTTACTGGAGATCTTTGTCATTTCTCTGTTGAGCTCCAATTATAACAGTGGTTTTATAGTAGCATTGCCCTAGTATACATGTAGTGCATAGTTTTCAAAATGTTCTAATGCATAGCATTATTTTGAATAGTTTCTTGTTCTGTGTATCTGCCATGATCATGGTTTTCTTTTCTTTCTTTTTTTTTTTTTTTGAGATGGATTTTTTCTGTTCTTGCTCAGACTGGAGCACAATGGTGCGATCTCACTTCACCACAACCTCCGCCTCTCAGGGTCAAGTGATTCTCCTGCCTCAGCCTCCTGAGTAGCTGGGATTACAGGCATGGGGAACCATGCCCGACTAACTTTTGTATTTTTAGTAGAGACGGGGTTTCTCCATGTTGGTCAGGCTGGTCTTGAACTCTCAACCTGAGGTGATCTACCACCTCAGCCTCCCAAAGTGCTGGGATTACCCGCGTGAGCCACCGTGCCCGGCCGATCATGCTTTTCTTAGCTTTGACTCTTTAGTGTCTCCTGGAACTCTTGAGATAGTAACTGAAATGTAAATTTGATTCTTTTTATAACCGCGAAACTTAACATAATGAAATAGTGCTTTTTAAAAAGCAGAAATGGTAAAATTCAAAGGTTTATCTACTTTTGTGGCTGCAAGGTGATTATAACTGTTATTTCTCCTTTAGGCTAATGATTACAAAAGGTGTAAATTCTAGATTTCAAGTCTAAAGAAATTGGTATCTGTGGAATTTGGTCTCCTGACATTGGAACGTATTGAAGTGATAAATCCCCACTTTATTGATTAATGAATAACATTAAGAAAATAACATGTAATTACTATTATCACCTTAACAACTGAAATGGAGCTTTCATTTTTGTAAGTATGTAGTCAAGCTTTAGGGATTTAAGAATTTTAAAATAATAAGAAAAAAAGTTAATCAGTTAGTTTAAGACGATTGACTGGTGAGTAATTTGATTGGTAAGGCAAACACAGGGCAAACTAACATTTGTTCCCCCTCTCCAAATCTGTATTTTTCTATTACGGAAAGCAATAAAATGGCTAAAGATTTTAATGAAGTGAATACTTTAAATAATTGTAAATCAAATAATGCAGCTTTTAGGTTTAATAAGTAAATGTAATTCAGAAATGATTGGCTTTTTAATTTTAATAATTTTTCTTGTCTTTTTTTTTTTTTTTTTTTTTTTTTTTTTTTTTTTTTTTTTTTTTTTTTGAGATGGAGTTTTGCTCTTGTTGCCCAGGCTGGAGTGCAGGGGCATAGTCCTGGCTCACTGCAACCTCCCCTCCCAGGTTCAAGTGATTCTCCTGCCTCAGCCTCATGAGTAGCTGGGATTACAGGCGTGTGCCACCACACCTGGCTAAGTTTTTATTTATTTATTTATTTATTTATTATTTTTAGCAGAGATGGGTTTTCTCTATGTTGGTCAGGCTGGTCTAGAAATCCCAACTTCAGGTGATCCACCAACCTCAGCCTCCCAAAGTGCTGGAATTACAGGCATGAGCCACTGCGCCTGGCTGTTTTTTAAAGTATATGTTTATTGTAGCAGCAAACGTACACAACTTTGTAGAGAGGAAAAGCTCAGTATGTTCATGTCTGTCCTTTTTTTTTTTTTTTTAAATTGAGACAGTCTCACTCTGACTTCACTCTACTCCAGCCGAGGCTGGAGTGCAGTGGCACAATCTCAGCCTACTGCAATCTTTGCCTCCTGGATTCATGCGATTCTCCTGCCTGGAATTACAGGTGTGAGCCACCACGCCAGGCCTGGAAGCAGGCACTTCTAACATGGCAGCAGGCAAGTGTGTGTGAAGGAAGAGGAGGAAGAGCCCCATATAAAACAATCAGATTTCATGAGAACAGCAGCGGGGAAGCTGTCCCCATGATCCCGTCACCTCCCACGGGGTCTCTCCCTCCACACCTGGGGATTACTATTCGAGATGAGCTTTGGGTGGGAACACAAAGCCAAGCCATATCATTATATGATGTGGAACATCTTGTTACATGCATATTTACATATGTATGTCTTCTTTGAATAAGGTTTCTGTTAAATACCCTTAGTCTATTTTAAAAATAGGGTTGTATGTTTCCTTATTGGTGAGTTTTAAGAGTTCTTTATATTTTTTCTTTATTATATTTTATTTATCTCTTATTGTTGTTATTTTTAGAGACGAGAGTTTTACCATGTAGCCCGAGCTAGCCTGAAACTCCAAAGCCCAGGCAGTCCACCCGCCTTGGCCTCCCAGAGTGCTGGGATTACAGGTGTGAGCCACTGTGTCTTGCCTGTGAGTCATTTTTTTTAGATAGGGTCTGGCTCTGTTACCTAGGCTGGAGTGCAGTGAGGTGATCTGGGCTCCCTCCAGCCTTCCCTTTCCAGGCTCAAGCAGTCCTCCCACCTCAGCCTTCTAGTAGCTGGGTCTGCAGGGGCATACCACCATGCCCAGCTAATTTTTTTTATTTTTTTTTTTTTTTTTTTTTTGGTAGAGATAGGCTTTTACCATGTAGCCCAGGCTGGTCTTGTATTCCCGGCCTCAGATGATCCTCCTACTCAGCCTCCCAAAATGGTGGGATTACAGGTGTGAGCCACTGAACCTGGCTGTATGATCCATTTTGAGTTACTTTTTGTGAAGAGTGTGAGGTCTGGGTCTAGATTGGATTTTTGCCTGTGGATGTTTATTGTTCCAGCACTATTTGTTGAATGTAGACGATCTTTGCTCCATTGCATTGCCTTTGTTACTTTGTCAGAGATCAGTTTTCTGTCTATAGATGTATTCTGGGCTATTTTGTTCCCTTGATCTATTTGTTCTTTCACTAATATCATGTTGTCTTGATAACTGTAGCTTTTTGGGAAGTCTTGAGGTCAAGTATGGCAAGCCCTTTCAGTTTGTTCTCTCCTTCAAAAAAAAAAAAAAACTTGATATGAACTTAAGCCTTAGTTTGTTGCTATCCACAGAATTTGCTGGGATTTTGATGTTGTGTTGAATTTGCAGATCAAGTTGGGAAGACAATACATCTTGAACAGTATTGAGTCTTCCTACCCAAGGAAATGGAATATTTCTCCATTTGTTTAATTCCTTGATTTATTTCATCAGACTTTTATAGTTTTCTTCATATAGTTCTTATCCATGCTTTGTTAGATTTGTGCCTAAGTGTAATATAAATGATTTGTGTTTTTCACTTCAAATTGGAAAGCGATTGACTTTTGTGTATTAACCTTGTATCCTGCAAGATTACTGTAATTGTTTATTAGTTTCTGGAGGTTTTTTTTTTTTTTTTTTTTTTTTCAGGTTTTCTATGGAGACAATCATGCCATCTATGAACAAAGATAGTTTTATTTCTTCCTTCCAATCTATACCTTTTCTTACTGTGTTAGCTAGGACCCATTCAAGATGAGCTTTGGGTGGGAACAAATTTTTAGATACTAAAAGGAAGGCAGGCATTAAGGTTAACTAAAATTATGATACTATTATACATTTATTTGCCACTGTAAAAAAAAATTAACCCGGAAGCGGTGGCTCACACCTGTAATCCTAGCACTTTCGGAGGCTGAGGACGGTGGATTGACGGAGCTCAGGAGTTAGAGATCAGCTTGGGCAACAGGGTGAAACTCTGTCTCTACTAAAATACAAAAAATTAGCCAGGCATGGCGATGTGCACCTGTAACCCAGCTACTTGGGAGGCTAAGACAGGCGAATCACTTGAAACCTGGGAGGTGGAAGTTGCAGTGAGCCAAGATCGCACCACTGCACTCTGGGCAACAAGAGCAAAACTCTGTCTTTTAAAAAAAAAAAATATATATATATATATATGAGCTGGGCGTGGTGGTTCACGCCTGTAATCTCAGCACTTTGGGAGGCCGAGGTGGCAGGTTACGATGTCAGGAGATCAAGACCATCTAAAAATTAGCCAGACGTGGTGGTGCATGCCTGTAGTCCCAGCTACTTGGGAGGCTGAGGCAGGAGAATGACTTGAACCCAGGTGGTGGAGGTTGCAGTGAGCCCAGATCGCACCACTGCACTCCAGCCTGGCGACAGAGAGAAACTTTCTGAAAAAAAAAAAAACAAAAAAAAAACCGCTTCAACAAACACGAAAATATGTTTAAAAATATTTTAAAGTAAATTTTTTTCCTACAGTACTGTAGAGTATTTAAAATTTTTAGGGATACCAGAGTCTTCTAGTTCATAATCTCTGTTTAGCCCAGCTCCGGAAGATGTGAAAAATGTCATTGAAATTTTGATAGGGATTTCATCGACTGCAGATCACTTTGGGTAGTATGGACATTTTAACAATATTCTTTCAGTTCATGAACATGAGATATTTTTCCATTTATTTGTATCTTTTTCAATTTTTTTCTTTAAAAATTAAAAGCAACTAAAAATAGGGAATGATGCGTGAATTAAGCCATTCAGGTTTTAACAATTTAGGGGCCATTTGAAGGTCCTTGTGGGAAAGAATACTTTGATAGCAAACATTGTGGTAGTTCTAAACAGAAACAGTTTTTAATGTCAAGTCAGCTCTAACCAAGCCACAATAATCTATTTTCCTCAGGCCTGGAACAAGAATTTTGAAATGTTATTTACGGTATGTTGCTGAGTGTATGCATGTGTAAGATTGGCGTTAAGAAGGGCCTGTAATCTGCTCGGCTTTCTTTATTGTTGATTTGTTGCTAAGAATTCTCTGGTCGAAGAAAATTATTTCCTTTTCAGGAACGTATGGGGATATGTTTGAGGTGAGTAAAGGTAAATATTTTTGTGCTTGGGCAAGAAGGGTTGGGTTTTTTACTGTTTAATTGTAATAACAAACTATTGATACATTTTGCATATTTATGCAAGTATGTATAGAAAGTGATACATAGGAATTGAAGTTGATAACTGCTTCAGGGAAGATTGGTTGAGTAGGTGATACATTCACATTGTTCAAAATTCCTAAGTATTTTCTCCCCTACCCCTGACCACCAGGTTATTTCCTGGAGCCAGCCACTGTCATTAGTTTTCTTTGTATCCATACCGATATTTTGTATGCATAAAAGTAACTAAGTGTATACTTTACACCCTCTCCCCAGTATTGTTTTAAATGCAGATACTAAGGTATTAGTCACTTTGATGTATTTTGCTCCTTTTACCTTTTGTATTTTACATCTCACATCTAGACAAAGAGCTTTCTTTCTTTTTTTTTTTTTTTTTAAATGGCTGCAAGACATCTATTGTATGGGTACTCCATAGTTTAACCGGTCCCTTCACTGATGGATATTCAGATTGCCTCA